AAATCTATCTTTCAGATCATTATCAATATGCATCTACAAATGACCATTTATCTAATAAAGTGAAAATACGACATGGTGTTCCTTAAGGCTCCTGTTTAGGCGCTCTATTATTTCGCGTGTACATTAATGACATTATGGCAGTACCAGGTTTCCCTTAACCAATATTGTACGCAGAAGACACAAATATGCTCTTTGCTGGTGGAGACGAAAAAGTGCGTCGAGAACTTAGCTAATGAATACCTTTAGAATTTATCAAAATGGTTGCAAATAAATCGTCTACAAAAAAATACAATTAATAATAAGCATATCATTTTTAAACCAGCAAAAAAGCAAGCCTACAGTTTAAATAACGTACTATAGGAGGGCACAACATGGAAGCAGGTGGCAGAACAAAAAGCTTTGGGCGTCTGGTTTGATGAGGACCTATTATAACAGTGTCGTCTAAACAAACTAAAGGCTGATTTATTCCGGTTGACAGGATGCATTTATAAAATACAAAATTTGATACCGACCTGGTAAAAACACACACTATATTATTCCTCATTCTACTCCAAAATTAGTTATGGTGTACTGGTCTTGGGAACGACGACAGAGGCGAATTATAATAAAATTTACCGTTTGCAAAAAAGATCATACGGTTGTGTGAAAATTTTAGATTATAGCAATTTCAGAACACCACTCCTCTTCATCAAATATAATATGATTAATACAAAACGAATATATTACTTCAAACGTTTACTAGTCAATACATAAAAATAGACTTTACATCACACCAGCGAGCAGCCTAGGTGCATATCCGACTAGAAATCCAAAGCGAAGGACGCCGGCCATAAGAATCAACTATGCTCTACAAACTTTATTTTTCAAACAACTAAAAGTCTAAATAGAACGTTCCTGAACACTAACTTTGACAACACGTTCCCTAGTTTTAAAAGGGGTTGTAGAAATTTCTCGGTTGGCAATGAAATCGCATTTTCATTTGGATAGTGTATTTCACCAAGAACATAATCACTAAGTGTAGTTAATTCCATAAATATATGTTTTCATTGTATTTGAACTTGCTGCTGATGCTGATATGTTGGATGTGCATATAGTTGCATTCTAGTTTTTTGTTTGTTTTTACTGTTATTGTTTTCGGTTTTTCACGATCAACAATTACTGACGTTTATAGTGTTTTTTACCAAATTAATGTGGTGTGTATTTTCCCTTGCTTCTTTGACTTGTTCTTGTTTTATTTTAATTGTATAGTGTTTTGTAGAATATGGTATTATGCAACTACTTTGAGCTGCTTAACTTTAGGGGGCAGAGGCTTTGTCAGGCACCAGGACTTTATCTCTGCCCTCTCCGCGGCGAACACGCAAAACAAATAAGGAAAAAATGAAAGGCGTTTGCAACTTCCTGTAACGCCGAATTAGAGCGCAGCTCTTGAGGAGGAGGAGGGGGAGGGTACCGAGGGGAAGGTATATCCTTCATCCCTCCTCCTCACCTCCTCATCCTGTCCACTACTCCTCCCTCCGAGCGGCGTCGCCGTCACCTAACGAGGGTCACGTGACCTCACGGGTGTCACGTGAGGTCACCGGGGTCACGTGACCCTTATGAGGTCAAGCGACGAGGACGAAGACGTCATTGTCACTAGTGACGTCATCAGTGACGATGACAATGCTGATGCTGATGACATCATCAGTGACATCACTGATGACGTCATCAGTGACGATGACGATGCGGATGCCGATTACATCTTCTGAAACGTCACTGATGACGTCATCAGGGACGATGACGATTAAGACGCGGATTCCGATGACGTCATCAGTGACGTCACTGATGACATCATCAGTGACGATGACGATGACGATGCGGATGCCGATGACGTCATCAGTGACGATGTCGATGACGATGCGGATACCGATGACGTCATCAGTGACGTCTCTGATGACGTTATCGGTGACGATGACGATGACGATGCGGATGCCGATGACGTCATCGGTGACGTCACTGGTGACGTCATCAGGGACGATGACGATGCGGATGCCGGTGACGTCATCAGTGACGTCACTGCCGCTGCCGATGACGTCACTGATGACGTCATCAGTGACGTCTCGCGTCCCATAATGCACCGCGCGGTTCCGCCGACAGCGACGGCGACGCCGCTCAAGCCGGAAACGGGCGCCTAAGAGCTGCGCTCAAAAAAAGCATGACACTGGGACATTTCTGGAAAGTAGCTCTTACGCAATTCTTCGCTAAGGAACCAAGAGTCGCCTGACACCCACCAAAACACAAGGTAAATATAGGAGACCCTGAATCATTTTTCTTCACTGTCGTATCGGTCTGGGGTGGCGCGAACGCTCTGTGAAGCGGTTAATATAGTGTATTGTTACGGAGATGCGGGGCCGGCAGGAAAAGACGAGGACATGTTCACATAATGAAGCCGACTAATTTAATGGCGGCAGATAGTAGCGCGATGGTTGTGCGCAACACTGCCACAGCGTCGTCGTCTTCATCGTCGCATTATACCTCTGTTTGAAGAGGACGACTCGGCCGATGAATAAAAAAAATGCGAGGAAAACATTCACTCAAACACAACAAAGATGGACGAAGCACTGCTGCCTGCCTCGAAATACGGGAACCTGTCGCGGCTCCATGGCCAGAAGGCGCTCTAGCAGCATTACCGACCTCAGCACCAGTCACAGCCCCCCGCCGACACTGTCCGGGCTGGGGAACGTCCGTCGTGCCGTCACAAGTTTGGGCTGGAGACGAGGCAGGGCATCGTCAATTCTCCGAAAGTCTCAGTCGTTACAACCATCGTCTCGCAATCCCATCCCAAGTTATCATGTTACAATCGTAATTCTTCATCGCTTAGGTCTGCCAGTTCTTCATACGTTCAGTCTTCATTGCATCATTGGGGCTGGGACTGTGTGGCGGGGCTGTGAGCTGGAGATCTTTCCGATGCTGCGGAGCGCTTCCACAGATGGCGTCAAGGTCGATGGTGGTGAACGGGATAATCGTTACCCCGTATCTCAACCAAGGATTTCGGAGACGCGGGGCTGGTGTGAGGAGACAAAGACATGTTCACATAGTGAAGCCGAATGATCTAAGGAGGCAGGGCCGTGCGCTCTGGCCTAGCGCGCGATCGTAGTCCGCACCAGTGCCGCAGCGTCGTCTTCATCGTCACAGTATACAATTGCAGGTGTTGATTCAAATTTAGCGGCTTGCATTAGTGTCTGGCTTCAAAAACTATTTAGCAAAGTCTGGCTATATTCCGTACAAAGCGCTTGTAATATAATGACACGAAAAGCAAGCAAAAAAAAAAGGAGCACAAGAGGAAACAAAATCGCAGAGCATGATGATTCACTTAGAGGTGAGTAAACCGCGGCCCAATTTTATACAAATCTTCATACTCAGACTGATACCGCACCAGAGTGTCGTCGAAAGTATTTTTAGAAATTAAAGCGAGCAAGAAATTTCGTTCATGAAGCTCAGTATAAGGTGAATGTCATTGGCAATGTCCCAGATATTGACGTATATACTTTTGAGAATGGAGATATTACATGATGAGAATGTCCTCTAAATTTGGAAACTCCAAACACTACCATATAACAGCTTGCAATGCGAGGCTTTTCAGCTCGTATTAATATGTAGCCTATTTAGTTATTCAGTGACCGCTCAAGAACGCCGAGCTCGGCCTATTGTTTCCCCGTGTCGCTTTTGATCGTGCTTCGGCGCTTTTTAAAGGAAACCCTTAATGGGTCTTGCTATAAAAAGAGGAGGACATTAAAAATGGGCTCGAGTGGGAGCATACAAAATGTCGAATTCGCTTGCTCATAAAACGGGAAAATGATACTGACGTCGTTATACGTATACGTAAAATTTTTTAATCTTGGAGTCCACAAATTTTAGGTATGTGGTTTCGCCCCTGTTATCTCCGAACGCCACATTATAATTGACTGCGTAAAAATAATGAGATGCCAGGGACTCGCTACGCTACGCATTGCTTAAAGTGTCAATGACCGTAAGCACTTAAAAATGCAAACATTCGTTTTGGTGAAGAAGAAGTCTCAGGTAATACATCGAAATCATAATATTTGTGTAGTGAATGGCTATCGTCGGTTCATGTAAATCGGGAAAAAACGTAATAGGTGGAAAGACGGGCAAGAATTTCTAAACAGTTACATGAATAAAAAAATACCATTTTTTTTCGCTCTAAAATAATTAATCATTCTACCTTTCACCAAAGCACATGCGTAAGCAAGGAGCTCGGAGAATGCTGAGTCTCAAAATATGAAGAACATGAAACAACCACTTGGACTTTTGTGACACTGAGGGTGGTGTAACTACGTGAAAGGTCGTGCCTAATACAACAACGCGGGGTATTTTTCTAAAGCTGAACATATTTCCAGCCTCGTCACTCGGCGAGCTCCCTTTGTAGATTGCAGGGATTGGCTCTCCCTAGCGTTTTGCACGAACGCAGACGTATCAGAGTTTTTTAGGAAGTCGAACCGAACTGAGCTATACAAAGAAAATTGCAGAACATTAAAGAATTCTGGTTTTTTTAGGCGAGAAAGTAGCTACCACGAACGTTTTATCTACTATCTCGTCCTATTAAAAGAAGTATGTAAGGGAAGCTAAAGAGGACTCTCTGCTCCAATTTTATGATGAGTCAATCTGCGCGCCCTCAAAGTGCTGAGACACCCCAAGCTATGATGATGCGCAACCTGTTTTTCTATTCAAAACGTAATGAAAGATTCGAATGTGCCCTTTTTTCTTTAAAAACGGGCGTGTCGCGATTGTCGAACGCATTCTAGAGAAAAAAAGACTGTGTAATATTGTATGTTTTTTTAAGCAACATAAAACGCGCAGTTAAAACCCAGCTCTGTATTGCAAATTTATATATTTACTTACATAATCGTTTGTTTGGGAGGCAAAAATACGCTTGATATTAAGGTCTAAGTTTTATTACTAGGCTTAGAGAAATGTTAAAATAGGAAACTGAAAGCTTTACATACCCCGGTCTTTTGATGTTATCTTCAGGCGGTAACAAGAATTAGGCTGGTGGACAAATTCAGCTTCTTTTATAGAAATGCCTGTAGAGGTACGGTCATTAGATCAATCATGGAATGCATAACATAAAAAGATGGCGTTTAAAGGGATACTGAACCGAAATTTCGAGCTCACAAAACAAGGCTGGACGGATAGGCGGCACGCTGTAAAACCCAAAAACATCACTCATACAGAGACGTCGTCGTGTTTCTTCCACCCAGTCTCAGGTGGTCAAAAATGGTAAACTCATACAGCAATATCTCGAATGGATCGTCGTATTTTGGAAAATAAGTGCGCGATTGAATACGGCCAACGAGGCATGCGACTTTACGATTCCCATTCCCTCTCCTCCTCGCCACGTTCCGTCAAGCCAACATTTCCTAAAAATAAGGCCGTAGCGATCTTCTCGTGACGTCGCAAAGGAAGGCCATCGGGGGAGCGCGTCGAAGCGAAGGCAACGCGCATGGATCGACCGTCGTAACGCGCTTTTAGTCACATACGCGTCTCTTATATTAGCTAAAATGAAAGCTGCATACAGCAAGGGGACTAGAAAACATTTTATTACACAAGCAAGCCATTACACCGCTAAATAATCGGTACGAAATGGCACGAGGTATGCATATAAGACGTCTATAGAAAAATGTAATTGTTTTAAGTCGAAAACATTGAGTCACGCAATAATTGCTGTAGGAATGCATATTTTATACAGAAATACTTTGACAAAATGGTGAGACACGCAGTGCTTGGACACAGCAACATATCACAGCTAAAAATCAGGTAGACGTAGTCAACACAAACACGGCTCGACAAGTGTCACTTACGATCATGTAAGCGATGTTATCGCGTGCCGTCACTGAATTAAAATAATGTAACTTCGATCGAATGACAATGTGGGGTTGACAAATCAGCTTGACGCTCGCATAATCACTCAAGACAGCGAGCTGATTAACTCGATCCCACATCATTTAATGAAAATATAGTAACTTTTCCTTGTGGCAGGGGTACTAAACCTACTATTTACAGTCAACTAATTTACTTCTCCCTATGAGCTCGAGCTGCCTAAGAACAAAATATAACCTATTTTGTATACAATAATACTATTCCCTTAATCAAGTTAAGATTCTAGTATAAACTCGGCAAAGGCAATAAAATAGCATTAGTATAAATAAACATAAGCAGAAACCATGCACTTTCAATACTCACCCAAACTTGTTATTTACCTTCCAGTAAAAACTATATATAATATTACCTCACATATTTACAAATGACGAACGACAAAGAGTAAAATTCTATTGTATCACAAGATTTAAAAAAAAAATCGACTGCATCATTTTACTTGAGTCTTACATGACCAAGAAAGCCCGTAAATAAGTTGATTGTCACCTGTCGATTGTATTCATATGTCCTACAATATCCGTGACGCAAACATTTGAACACGAACTTCAAGAAGTCTCTCTCTGTCGAGAGAGAGGTCATCGACCAGTGTCATCGTTGACTAGTTGCCACACACGTCGCTCAAACCGCAGCGGGACTTGTTCCGTGAATCCACGTAAACGCGGTAGTATCAAGCGAACACAAAAAAAAACTACACGAGACTGCGATGACATAAGAAAAAAACGGGAAAAAAACAAGTCTCAAAAGCACCACCACGAGAGCACCGGCAGAAGGACGAGAGGCTTAACGTTGTCGACCCATCTCTTGTTCGTGTGCGCTGCCTGCAGCGATAACTGGATTTCTTTTCGGTTCCCTTCCTTTCTGAAATGTCTCAGCGTTCCTTTTCAGACAGTCAGCAGCCCACACATAACGTAAATTTACCAGAATCAGAGCCCGTTAGAGGGAAGATGTGCATCGGAGCCAGTTCATTCAAAACCTTCGAAAAGTGTGGGGAGCTGCAAGGCTGTTCGTAGTCCCGCGGTTACGGGGATAATCATAAATATAAATTTGGTACTTAAAACCTTAGTAACGCGTTGTATATTACGTTTATATTATATATATAATAAATTGTGCAAGACTGCGCTTTTGAAACGTATATTAATGTCGTATAAACGCGCACGAACACCACCGCGCCGGTGGTGTTCGTGCGCGTCAATAAGAGATTTTCTCACGTAGTTGCGCCATGGCCTTCCTTCTCGGACTTTGTGACGTAACCACTGGGAGCGCTACGGCTTGATTTCTAGGAGGTGTTGGTCGAGCTGATGAACCGAAGCGAGGAGGAGAGAAGCGAGGCCGCTTCCCCTCATTCTCACTCTCCTGGAGGACAATGACGTTAAAGACCTCACTTGATCGCGCTCTTCTTTTCCAAAAGTACGGCCATGCGTTTGAGATATCGATGTGCGAGCGATGTTTTGGGGTTCGTAGCGTCCCGTTCAACGCTTCTGCCACCTTATTTTATAAAATCCAAATTTCGGTTCAGTATCCCTTTAAGGAGGTCATTGTAAGGTTTACATCATAAATTTAATTGTCGTTTATCTATAAATTTCAAAACAATTTAAGTAATATAAACGGCCTAATAATGGCGAGGTCAAAATATTCGTGAAATTCACAACTAAAACATATTGAGTAACATTTATTACACAAATACGTCTTTCCATGGTTAAAAAAAAGCAGTGCATATCACTGAGAATCTCAAAAGTTTTGTCAGCTAAATATTCCGGCATCTAGAGTTTTAAAAATTCATCATATATCGAACCGCGAAAATACATTCGGTTACAGTACCATAGAAAGATTGAGCTGTCAGCAATATTATTACGTTGAAAGTTTTAGCCTAGCAATTATAATATTTCTTATGCAAATATTAATAATTCTTTATTTGAAATGCTTTTAGTTGGTGTAAATAATATATAACGAAAGTTATAGGAATACACTTTTTTTATCTCTTACCTAACTACACAAAATTGCGCTGACTACTTCCTTTCAAAAATGTTAATATTGTCAGGGATGACAAGTGACGAGGCGGCGAAGGACTGAGTAAACTGAACGTTTAATGGGACTAACTTGTGCCCAAAAATAAAAGGACAAAGAAAGATAACAACAGAGCATCGCAGGCGTTGAAGGCGACGAAGCACCGCGATCGAACGCTGAGGCGAAACTGACTCCGGCTTGCCACGCGGAGCCGCTTTTGTACATGCGTGGGCTTCTGGAGCATTCGGCGTAAAAGGTTCGGCGCGTAGAACATTCTAACCTCGAATCAGCCAAGACGGTTCTCGAATTTACCACAATACTAGTCTACAGGAATAAACAAAAAGATGCGCCGCTCCCAGGAAACGAACCCTGGCTTTTCGCGTGGGAGGCGGGCGCGATAACTGTTAAGCCACGCGCGCGCTGCCTACTTGGCCAGCTGCGCGCGCGGCATTACTCCCCCCTTTAAAAAGTGCTTCGCCCCGATGCAACGCAAAACAAAACAAAGCACATAAAAAGAAACGGCAAACTACGGAGTCTTTTGGCACACATAAGTTCCACAGTCCTATCAAGCGTAGTACAGCTTTAGACCGACGACGTGGTCGACTTCAGGTCGTGGTGGGCGGCGTGATGATGTTCTTGCTCCGTCGGGCATCACCTCGTAGTTCAGCTCCCCGAGGCGACGAAGTACCTTGTACGGTCCAAAGTATCGTTTCAGCAATTTCTCACTGAAGCCGCGGCGACGAATGGGCGTCCACACCCACACCCTGTCTCCGGGCTGGAAGTGGACGTCCCGGCGACGAAGGTTGTAGCGGCCCGCGTCGACGCGTTGCTGGTCTTGAATCAGGAGTCGGGCGAGCCGGCGGACATCTTCGGCCCGTTGAGCAACCACCTGGTCGTCGTCGCTCTCATTGTCAGATGGCTCATGGGGCAGCATTGCGTCCAGCATGGTCGTTACCTTCCGACAATGTACCAGCTGGAAAGGGGTGAATCCAGTGGTCTCCTGAACCGCCGTATTGTAGGCGAACGTGACGTAGGGCAACACCCCGTCCCACGTCTTGTGCTCTACGTCGACGTACATAGATTTCATATCGGCGATTGTCTTGTTGAGTCGCTCGGTCAGCCCGTTGGTCTGCGGGTGGTATGCAGCTGTACGACGTTGGGTGGTGTGACTGAGCCGGAGAATTTCTTGGGTCAGCTTTGCCATGAACGATGATCCGCGATCTGTTATCATAACTACGGGAGCGCCGTGGCGGAGGACAATGGCCTCGAGGAAAAACTTGGCGACTTCAACCGCAGTCCCCGAAAGAAGGGCTTTCGTTTCTGCGTCGAACCGCAGTCCCCGAAGGAAGGGCTTTCGTTTCTGCGAGGTCCGATTGTTCTACGCGTCGAACATTCTACGCCGATTATTCCAGAAGCTCAAGCATGTACATAAGGGGCACCGCGTGGCGAACCGGACTCAGTTTCACCCCAGCGTTGGACTCTGCTGCTACGCCGACTTCGACGCCCGCGACGCTCTGTTGTTTTCTTTTGTACACTTTTATTTTTGGCACAAGTTCGCCACATTAAAAGTTTATTTCTTCCTGTTTATTTATTGCTTTTTGGTCACCACCCGTGACAATATGAAGCCATCCTCGCAGAATATTCCACCATAACGCGACCGTGCAACACCGAGGTACCAGCCAAGCACGCCGTGACCCATCACATCGACTCTTCGGCGAGCGACTTAACATCGCGCGAAGAGAATTCGAAGACACGCTGGAGCTTAGTATCATCCGCCCCTTCTCCAGCAGTTGGGCGTCGCCTCTTCACATGGTCCCTAAGAAAGATTCAAAAGACTGGAGGCCATGCGGAGATTATCGCGCCTTGAATGCGTGCACGGTACCTGACCGGTGCCCCTTGCCACACATTCTCGATTTCTCCGCTGGCCTAGCTGGCACCAACATTTACAGCAAGGTAGACCTTATTAAGGCCTATCACCAGATTCCAGTCGAGCCAGCGGATGTGCCCAAAACCGCCATCACAATTCTGTTCGGACTCTTTGAGTACGTTTGGATGCCCTTCGGCCTCCGAAACTCCGCGCACACTTTCCAACGCCTTATAGACGAAGTCACCAGATGCCTTCATTTCATCTCCGCTTATGTTGATGATATTATCGTGGTCAGCTCCTCTCCGGAATAACACGACCATTCCGTGGCCCCACGGCCACGGTTCGACCATGTTCACCTAGATCTCGTGGGCCTCTTGCCATCATGTCGAGGCTTCACGTACATCTTGACTTGCGTTGACCGCTACACCAGGTGGCCCGAAGCTACTCCCCTGGCTGACACCACTGCCGAGACAGTCACCAAGGACTTTATTGACATCTGGATATCCCGCCTCGGATGTCCATTCACCGTCACTACGGACCGGGGAGGACAATTCGAATGCTCGCTGTTTGCTGCCTTAGCCCAGTTCTTCGGCATGTGCACACTACGTAATACCACCCGTCAGCCAATGGCATGTTGGAAAGGTTACACCGACAGCTCAAGGCAGCAATTACAGCACGAGATGGACGTATCAACTGGGTCGATCATCTCCCATTCGTCCTTCTCGGCATTGGATCCGCCTTCAAACGAGACCTGGAATGCACCTCAGCTGAATTGGTTTATGGATCGCCACTCCGGCTCCCTGGAGAATTTTTCGACATTACCAAGTGTACTCCAACAACTCCACGCCAAGCGTACATAGACAACTTGAGGCACTTCATTCAAGAACTGAAGCCCACACAACCTCGGATGCCCCATTCTCAAAAGATCTTCGTAAGTCAAGAATTGAAAGCTTTCAGGCACGCAGTCGTCAAAAAAGAAGTTAAGAAGAAAAGTCTCACGCCACCTTACGAGGGATCTTTTAAGATACTCGACCGCACCGAGAAGACCATGACTCTTGACATAAAAGGACACCGAGAAATCGTGGCCAGGGACCGAATCAAACCCGCATTTCAGGACTCAAATTCTCATCCTTCATACTCAGAGCAACTTGCAACACTCCAGAAAACCAAGAAACCAAGAAGTGTTTCATGGGCCACATAACTCTCCACACCCTTACCTCCTCCTATTGCCACCAGTGCCACCATTTTATTTATATTTCCGTGATCCTTGCTACCAGGGGGGAGTCCTGTAGGAGTCAGCTCCGAGATATGAAAAAAATTTCTTTTTTTTTTCTAAGCTCGCTGCGCGAGCTCCTTGATGCGCGAGAAATAAAAACGATCAGGTCGAGCCAGAACACCGTGGAGCTCGGATGTCTTTTCCACAGCTTGCTACTGGAATAAAAGCTCAATATACAAGGACTGAAGCAACCGAATTATATATAAAAAAAGTTTAAATCTTAATCGTGTGTTTGAACATTTTGAAACAGGTTTTATTTAATTTTATGGTGACTATAACTTTCCCGGAGCATAAGCAGCACTTATGATGTCACAGTTTGGTTAGGTTGGCCTAACGACACTGAACCGAAAGTTTAAATTAATGAAAAACAAATCCCATTGAAACATACCCAGGAAGCACGGCAGAGAAGTGCTTACCTTGGCACACTCTTGGCAATCCTAGTGGCCTAACCTGGCCCTAATACGGTTTTGTTCCAAGGTGTTTAATAGTGCCATAGTACTTTTCTTTGGCGTTTCTATGACTTTTTTTTGGCTCGCCACATAAATGCCTAACTGGCAAACTTGAGCCAAGCATTTCAAGCATAAACCGAAAAGCCAATAGTGAAGCGTAAATGTGGCACGTGCTTGACGGTTTAATCAGCAAGATGCCAGATCTACTATCAGTGAAGCCTAACCAAGGACTTTGCTTGGCGAAATTGGCCGAAACTCTTGTCAAAGAATGTCATGTTCGGTACTACCTTGGCTTTTTGTGCATTTTCAGGCCCGAAATTTCCAAACAAAAAACACACTTTGGACCGAAGAACAGTGCGACCTGAAATATGCTTGTAGTAAACTCAAAAATAGCACGGTCCTTTCTTGCATATACGCCTAATCGCATGACTAAAAAAGCGACACTAAAATTGAGAATTTCACTAGGCCTGAAACGTGAAGTCAATGATACCTCGGTCAAGAGCGCGTGTGCAATTTTTTTGTTGACCTTGTCAAATGACGCATAGTTCTTTATGGTTTGTATTTTGTACTGCGCTCATTTGCTACCACGTAAAAAAAAATTTCGAATTCCAGTGTGTTCTACTATATAAAACGCAATATATTGCATATATTATATATATTATGCATATATATTGCACAATATAAAATGCAATATATTGCATTTTATATTGTGTACATCTGAATAATAACCAGATTGCAGTGAAGAATACTAGAAATTGCAAAAGTCGTCGTTAATTCGTACCATTATTTGATGATCCTTCGAAGTCAAAACGAAGCTTGTTTGCTGAAGCTCCTTTTTCTGTTTTCACAGAGAAGCTTATGGTGTCAACACGCCTGTAAGTTTGTTATTGACGTTTTATTAGAATATGGTAAATAGTCGTGCATGCTAGATAATTAATAAACCTACTTGAATCCGCTGCCAGACAACGTATAGTGAAGCCACAGCATTACCGTGCCGTCTGTTTCCTCTGCTGAATATAAGAGCTGCATTGTAAAACAGGATACCGTAGAGTCGACTAGGAAGGGCTTCTGGGTTGTTGAGCGCGGAAGGGCAAATGTTTTTCCATGGATATCGCCAAGGATCTAAAAATGAAATTAAAATATTGACTGCTTATTTTTTTATAGTTATGGTCACTTTAATAAGCGGTGTGGAATGAATTTTTTCATCTACGCATTCGCCCAATATGGTGTAATTTCCAAAGCCAACAATGCAAGCATTTACCGTTGTAGCGGACAAGCCAACTGGGGTGGTAGAGAAAGACGAGGCACGCGTGCAAGGGGACTCAAGACAGAACATACCGACGGGACAGGCCTGCGATGTATACTGATATAAATATTTCATATTGTAAATAGCCTCCACGGTAAATAAAATTGAAGAGACCTCTGGTTACTTCAAGTGGCGACCGGGATCACGCCCGACTGACCTGCCTATGGCAACCTCTGAAGACCCTCCACCGTCTGACCTTGCTGCCCTCCATCAACTACGCCTTCCAAACTTCTGGTCGTCTGGTCCTCAAGTATGGTTCGCGCAAGTAGAAAGCCAGTTTATCATCAGCGAGGTAATTTCTTAAGCGCCAAATTTTCATCACGTCGAGGCCGCATTACCGCCAGAAGCCGCTATAGAAATACGAGACATCATCCTCGACCCGCACACTACGTATCTCCCCCTACGACGTTCTGAAAGCAAAACTTGTGAAACGAACTTCAGAGTCAGAACAACGACGGCTCCAGCAACTTATATCGTCGGAAGAGTTGGGAGACAGAAAGCCTTCCCAACTATTCAGGCACCTTCAACAACTTCTGGGAACGAAGGCTCCAACCTTCAACACAGCCGTCCTACGAGAGTTGTTTCTTCAACGGATGCCCGTCAGTGTACGGATGATCCTCGCATCTGCATCTGGGCTGGTTTTGCCCGAACTTGACGCAACTGGCACATGCTGTCACGGACGTCCCGACTCCAACGTCCACACAGGTCGCCGTTCTTCAGGATCAGCGGCCACACTTCTTGGAAATGGCGCCTTGTGATACACCTTGCACACTCGAAGACAGACGAGAAGAGTTCCATCGAGAGGTGCAAAACCTCTCAGTGTGAATATTAGCCATCCCTACTCGCTCTACTCCACAACACAAGCGACGCCTTTCAACTCGTCCTTGCCGCGGGTCTCCGGCTGCAACCTGGGTGAAATCACCGGACACTAGGCTTTGCTGGTGCCATCGAACCTTCGGAGAAGGCGCCCGCAACTGCGTTTTTCCCTGCTCACCATCGGGAAATACGTCAACCCCTACTATAGGCGGCGAATAGTGCCGGTAACCAGCCTAGCCGCTTGTTCTTTATAACGTTTAAGACTAGTCCCGGTCGTTTTGTTGAAATTAGGTTCTATGTACAACCTTTGCAATATTTTGAATTTCTGGCTACTATATTGATGAAACGTAATAGTCCTTAGGATTTTGATAAAGTAAGATTCAAAGCAGGTATCAAAATTAAAATTGCACTATTCCATTAAAGCTCTTTATACCTGTGAAGCTTAGAGTATGAACACAGTACTATTTCCTGTAAAGTTACTATTTCCGTGTTCACATACCCACTGAGGCCAAGCAACATTTACAAATACTCGTGGCCATATGATCAATCGTATGGGGCGTTTGTAACACCATTAACATTTAGACACCACAAAATAAAGCTAACCCGGACTGTCTCGCAATGTTGATCGTGTTGTAGGATAAAAATAAGAGCTGCTAGGCACTGTCTTTGTTGAAAGAGTATTTGTAAGGCTTGGTCATTTATACTCTTGCTGCTACATTCTTATAAAATAGGCGGAACAGCTGTTTAGTAAACACGTGTTGAAAGTCGGCGAAACGTTTTGACCCATTAAGCAAGTACAAACATTAGCAAAATCATTGAATGTTCATTTTATATATTTCATCAAATAGAAAACTCGGTGATCCTGAAGTTACAGTTGAGTTTTATTTAATTTTAAAAACTTGACTGTCTAGAGTTCATAGTCATTTGTTGCACAGCCTTGGAACGTTTTGTTGCACCTTAAGATAAACAAAGTGCTTAATTTGATTAACGATTATCTCTCTAAACTAGGGCACCGGATGATAGGATAGAGTCGTTTGGAACCTGCATTAGTTCTACACAAGTGCGATTATATCTACTAAAATAAAACGTGCACGAATATTTAAAATTTAGTATATGGTACAAATGTTAAGGCAGAAAATCGAATTAAACACTATACCAATTTGTATTGCGTATAATTAACTCCTCGTTGGGTTCACTTTTGACTATATTTTTAACTATGAGAATGTACAGCAATGAAAGATGTGATTGTGCTGCCTTTGTCCTACACGTTTCTTCTTCCTTTAATCTTAATATAACACAGGGTGTTTCAGCTAACCCGTGCCAGAACGTAAAAAAGCTGGGGCACGCTGCGCATGTAAAACCGATGAAATATTGCTCGCAGCCTTATGTTGAGGAAGTCAAAGATCTGAGGCGTACCAAAGTTTATAATTAGCATATATTCATTACCTAACGTTTAACATATTACCTTCTACGCAAAACCTTCAACACAAATACTGTGAAGCGCGTTTCGAAGCATACTATTTTGTCGATCCCGTCAATGTAGCCGTTGTGTGTTTAATATTTAATGGTGCTCAGTAAAGCGCGCGAGGTTTATAAAAGGCCACGTTACTACCCGCTAACGAACTGCGATGTGAGTGCCTTTAGTCACCTGGAATTATTAATTAAAAACTAGTGTGCTTACTTTAAAACTCAAAAAAAATCAATCACATAAAGGCGACCTTGATAAAAACGATACAATAGGGTGTTCCCCAGCACGTTCTGTAACTCTTTTATTGGGCGGTATGCGCAAAAATTATTATACAAAACCGATCAAAATGTTTGATCGGTTCATCAAAGATTACGACTGGGAAGGTTTTTTATTTTCTGTAGACCGTGGGAATTTATATAGAAAGTTTATCGATGTTGTTGTACACTTCCGGAACAACGCCAGAAAAACTGTCTACGTCAAAAAACGCAACCCTAAGCTCCCTTGGCTGAACTCTAAAATTCTTAACGCCATTGATCTCAAAGAGAAATTTTGGAAGAAGAGTCGCCGCTACCCTAATAATGCTGCTCTCAAACTTGAAAGCAAGATTCATAGAAATTTTGTCACTGCACTTATTCGATCAGCGAAGCGAACATACTTCGCCAAAAAGATCTCGGATGCCAGATTCGACTCAAGAAAAACCTGGGCTGTAATAAATGAGGCTCGAGGTCATTTGAAGAATAACATTTATGAGACACTAAGGGAACATTTTGGAGCTGATATGTTAGCAACTGCGAACGCTTTCAATCGTTTTTTCTCAGACTCTGCCACGGTACCGTCTAGCAGCGATAGGATTCCCACACCGCGAATGCCGTTCAACAAAGAATCTGCCTTTCTTCCTCCTCTGACAGATTTCGAATTACGGTCGTATCTGTTCGGATTCAAGCGATTTAGATCTGCTGGTGTCGACGACATTACTGTACACGACTTATGCCGAAATTTCGAGTCTCTGAAAAATGTACTTCTCACTTTGATTAATGACTTTTTGGAAACGGGCTATATTCCTGATGAATTAAAAAGCGCTTTAGTAGTGCCTCTGTTTAAAGGTGGTGCGCCAAACCAAGTCTCCTCGTACCGACCAATATCAATATTGTCATCCATTTCCCAGATATTAGAGAAGCATATTTTTGTTGCAATGTCCAATTTCCTTGAAAAACACGCAATATTCACACCAAATCAATACGGATTTATATCTGGTCGAGGTACTACTAACCTACTTGAACATTTTTCGGACATACTACACTCAACTTTTGACAAAAATATGTACGCATGTGCTCTTTTCATCGATGTTGCTAAGGCTTTTGACACTGTGAATCACAAGCTTCTGTTGGACAAGTTGTATAGGATCGGCTTTCGTGGTCCCTTTCATGCCATTTTGGAGAATTACTTGTCTAATCGCTCTCAGATTGTGTCAATAGATAATTTCCACAGCTCTCAAGTTTCTTTAACATCTGGTGTCCCGCAGGGTTCAATTCTTTCTCCTTTATTTTTTAACATCTACGTGAATGATATGTCATCCGTTACGACGAACTGTGTGATACTACAATATGCAGATGACACAGTTTTATTGTCTCAACATATTTCATATCACCATGCGGTTAACATGCTGCAAGTAGATGCCAATAAGGTAATGGACTGGTTCCAGGCAAACAAACTTCGAGTAAATACTACCAAAACAAAGCTTATTTGTTTCCGCAACCCTTTAAAAAGCGTGAGTTTAACCGCCCCACTCTTTCTTCATAACTCATGCTGCTCATGTTCTACCTGTGAGCCTGTTCATTATGTTAACACGATTAAGTACCTGGGCATTCACTTCGATTGCGACCTATCTTGGAACACCCACATGTCATACCTATGTCAACGGCTGAGAACAGTCGCTTGTATGATGTACCATATTAAGGCATATATGCCGCTAACTATAAGAAAATGTATAATGCGTGCTCTTACCTACAGTGTCCTGAGGTATGGCATCACTATTTTTTTTAATTGCCCCCTTCTATGGCAGTCAAGAATTGACAGAATTCTACGAAATACTCTAAAGAGCATTGCAAACAACACAGAATGTTCAAAAAATGTCAACCTTTTCTCGTTCTTGGAATTGCCTACGTTTCACTCCCTGTTCCTTCAGACTGTAATACGAAGACATTTTTGGGACAGTGAGTTTATTATACCATCCTTACCATCTCGTGACCTAAGAAATTATCTTCGTTTCCAATTTCCTCATCTAAGGACCCATTATGGTGAAAGTTTGCGTATTTTCTATGTGCCTAATGTCTTCAATAGCATCCCAGAGTCGGTTTTGGCAATTACTTCCAACAAAACATTGACGAAAAGCTTGAGAAAGATGTATTCTGCCGTATCGATGCAATGATATAAAGCACGCGGAATTGGTATCAAATTTTGACCCCATACTTCTTGGCCAGCGCGCATCCAATACAACCCTTATTTCAGATATGCACCGGCACCTTGTACTATGTTGTCTTTTATGATGGCTATCAATACCAAAAATAGATGTCTGACACAGGCCTGCACCCATCAAGGACATAGACAATAGTCTCCATGTGCTCATGGTTGTTTTTTCTTTCACTTTACTTCGGTACTTTGGTGTGTGTGTGTGCGATGCCACCTTAACAGCGACACAGTTACAATCTACGGTATGTGCAAGCTTTCGTGTCCATGAGTGTCAGTGATCCCTCGTCGTTCGATCACTTGGAGCTACAATCCTTCAGACAACGGGGTCAACGCATCGTGTGCATAGTGCTCAGCCTACAACATGTGATGGTTTGGATTCATGAAACTATGCCTTTTATCTCGTGCCTCTGTTTTGTCTTGTCCCACTGCCACTGTCTCGTGCAACTGTCTTTTTTCTTTTCTCTTCCTCATGACAATGTGCACTTCCGAATTCTTTTACTGCAGGGCCTGGTCCCACAAGCCCATGCTGGCTTTGACCGGACCCGTAATTCCATTGTTGATTCTACATGTGTGAATAAATGTATTATTATTATTATTATTATCTAATTAGTCTGTGTTAATTAGCAAGTTTGGTGGTCTCTTATGTTTTGATTTAATTTTTGAATAGGAGTGCGAACAATACTGGCGTTGGTCCAATACGTGCGGCTTGCACCAGCTCTTTTTAAGTTGAGGCAAAAGGTAACTGAAAAAACCTGAATAATAAGATTTGAAAAGGTTATTAAAATTCTTTTTCGTAAAAAGTTGAAGTAAAGTGGAGATCAAGGAAATTTTTCAAAATAAAAATTCACCTTAAAAAGGGTAAAGATAACAATAAATGCCAAATGAGGAAGAGAGGTAAAAATATAAACAACCTCTACCTGAACTGACATGCTTCCTGTTATAATTAGATTGCAATTAAATGCAAAGGTGCAAGCGAGCTGGACAAGAATGATGAAAATAAACCCTGGAGAAGGGGAACAAGAGGGACAAAGGACAAACACAAATCTCCAAACACAGCTAGGTGACTGGTGCGCGACCGAAAAAATCCGCCTGGTCCGGGTACCGAACCCGGGACCTCTCCATCACAGGTGGAGCGCTCTACCAATTGAGCTAACCAGGGGTTAGACATCAGTAGAGCAAACGGGTTTTATCAGCTGCCACCAGTCTAACACCAACAAGGGTGAAGCTTGCAATTTAAGGTTATAATTAGATTGCAATTAAATGCAAAGGTGCAAGCGAGCTGGACAAGAATGATGAAAATAAACCCTGGAGAAGGGGAACAAGAGGGACAAAGGACAAACACAAATCTCCAAACACAGCTAGGTGACTGGTGCGCGACCGAAAAAATCCGCCTGGTCCGGGTATCGAACCCGGGACCTCTCCATCACAGGTGGAGCGCTCTACCAATTGAGCTAACCAGGGGTTAGACATCAGTAGAGCAAACGGGTTTTATCAGCTGCCACCAGTCTAACACCAACAAGGGTGAAGCTTGCAATTTAAGGTTATAATTAGATTGCAATTAAATGCAAAGGTGCAAGCGAGCTGGACAAGAATGATGAAAATAAACCCTGGAGAAGGGGAACAAGAGGGACAAAGGACAAACACAAATCTCCAAACACAGCTAGGTGACTGGTGCGCGACCGAAAAAATCCGCCTGGTCCGGGTATCGAACCCGGGACCTCTCCATCACAGGTGGAGCGCTCTACCAATTGAGCTAACCAGGGGTTAGACATCAGTAGAGCAGAGCGCTCCACCTGTGATGGAGAGGTCCCGGGTTCGATACCCGGACCAGGCGGATTTTTTCGGTCGCGCACCAGTCACCTAGCTGTGTTTGGAGATTTGTGTTTGTCCTTTGTCCCTCTTGTTCCCCTTCTCCAGGGTTTATTTTCATCATTCTTGTCCAGCTCGCTTGCACCTTTGCATTTAATTGCAATCTCATTATAACCTTAAATTGCAAGCTTCACCCTTGTTGGTGTTAGACTGGTGGCAGCTGATAAAACCCGTTTGCTCTACTGATGTCTAACCCCTGGTTAGCTCAATTGGTAGAGCGCTCCACCTGTGATGGAGAGGTCCCGGGTTCGATACCCGGACCAGGCGGATTTTTTCGGTCGCGCACCAGTCACCTAGCTGTGTTTGGAGATTTGTGTTTGTCCTTTGTCCCTCTTGTTCCCCTTCTCCAGGGTTTATTTTCATCATGCTTCCTGTGCTTCTTCCTTGCCTTCGAAGCTTTATAAAACTACCGTCTCCCCAAATTGTGTCACAGCTTAATTTACTTCGAGACTGTTCATTAATATTACAATCAGTCGCCTCAATTTGTCTTAGAGAATGCCGCGTACGAGTCACAATTGTATTGTGACAAAAGGTGTGGGCAAATGATTTTTTGAAAAATATTATACTTAGGTGTATGAAACAAACTTAGCGGGCAAGCTTTTTCGCTAAATTTAGTGCGCAGTACTTCTTTTAGATGCTAACATAATGCTAAAACCTAACTGGAGACCACACTTTTACTAACCGGATTTTAGCTTTTTTTCAAAACTAGACATCAAATATTCACTGCACGTTGCCTACCAGAAATTAAATATTAATATGCAAGGGGTTATATTTAGCTTGTTCACGTCTTAGAAATTCAACGCAAATGTAACTTTGAATATTGATCGAATTCAGCGAAGGAACGCAATCCGTACTACTGTTTAATACAGGCTGCGTGAATTGTCTTTATATACATTTTTAAAACTCATATTGAAGTGCTGAATTAGAGATTAAAATAGTTCGTATCCGGGCCGAGGTGCCTGCAATCTGACGAAGGCTTATTGCGGTAAAGGCGCCGTGTAATCGAGCTTTCGTTTGCACGTCAAAAGATCCCCAGGTGGTCGAAAATAATCGTCAGTCCTTCGCTGGGGCGTGACAGATGCCCGTCGTTGGATTGGCCCGTAAAACCCCTGAATTTGATTAGAAATTAAAAATATATAATAAATTATAAAATTATTATAAAAAGGCAATTCAGCACATTTTCTTCTCAACACACTATCCTATTGATCCAGGCAGTGTTGTTCGTTACAACATGAGATTGTCAAAGTGTCAACTACCTTTAAAGATTGCTCGGTAGTTTGCTCTCGTGGTTTTATATCCGCGTTGATATTTCTTGGTGCGGCTGTGGTCACCACAAAGATAACAAGAAAACTAATCAGTAGTCGCCACGCTACGAAGTGCATTGTTTTTCTTTTAAATGGGGGACTTGACCGGGCAAAGGACGTTTTCCACTTTCCTTTTCAGTCCTTTCGCTTTCCGTACCTGTAACAAAAGATTAAACATGGTATAATTTACTCATATTTTTATGGCCCTCTCTGTAAACGCGGTTATGTTTTTAGAGCGGTAACAAAATACACAACTAGTACTGAATACACTATTTAAGAATGCATCAGAAGCTCCGCCTCCAGTGAACACGTTCGCTGTCTCCCGTCGCGTAGGAGTGTTTAGTGCCCACGAGAACCCCAAGTGTTAGCGAAGACAGAAAGCTCACGCTGGGGGTGGAACACCTGGAGCATTCTTTAGTTGTATATCTAGCTATAATATAATTGTAGGTATCATGTTCGGTCAATATTACCAAAGAATGAGTTCTATCCGCAAACGTTTATAAAAGCAGTCCCACCTGACTGTCAGTTATGATCCTTCGTCAAATTTGGACGTTACACAAAGGTTAAAATCATTTAGGAAGATATAGACCCATAGGGCCCATTTAAAGCAGACAAACGAAGAGCACCCAAACCGAAATCAAACACTCGACGCAGTGATTCATAGCCGGATATTATACCAACTGAGCTATCCGGGCAAGAATCCAACAGAGGTATCCGCTCACATCAGTTTTACCCACACAAACTTCACATTTCGTGTGTGGTTTCCGGTGGTAAGAATAGGGAGTTTTAGCAGGTCGTTTCCACACGAACGGTTCGCCCTCGAACGCATCCGCGACGCCACTGCGCATGCGCGCGCGAGTCGTTCGGGAAGTCGGGAGGCTCTTCTCGTTCGTTTCTCCCATTCCGGCCGCTGGAGTCGTCACCGGAACGCAGCCAGCACCGTTCACGAGTCGGGTAAAAAAAAGATGGCGGTCGGTTCGGCGACCGCCTTTGCCGACCCAGCCGAGCGTTAGGCCTAGGGACAGCGGGAGGCTGTTAGTCTGCTTCATTTGAGAGGTTGAACCAAATCATTTCGAGAACTGCTCACAATCGTAAGCGATTGTGAATTCTGTAAACTGCGCATGCTAGTAAATTTTAGCGATCTGCGGGCAGACTAGCTGCCGTGGTGACCGCGAGCAGGCGAAATGATTTGGTTCGATGGCACACAACGTTCACGATCGTTCAAGTTCAAGATGACGGAGACACACCACATACCTTTACGGTCGTTCAGACATTTTTTACTCTACCCTTACAAAAATATGTATGGACACTTCTAGGACGTTCTATAGACCAGCGTCCATAGGGAGGACAAAAGGCATCTATAGGCGGACCACGACCTCTGTTGCCTCCGTGAAGTCGTCCTATGGCTGCCCTATAGAATATTGGCCAACGGACGTTCTATGGACGTCCTATTCTATGGATGATGTGTGGTTATCCTATATCCTGTCTATGGCAAGGCGCCATATAGAGTCCATAGGGGCTCTATAAGGTGTCTACACAGGGTCTTTACGGTGTCTATAGGGTGCCTGTAGAAAACCCATACGAGGTCTACAAGGAGTCCCTAGGGAAGCCATACAAGGTCTACACAGGGTCCTCATGGGGTCTGCAGAAAAGCCACACAAGCTCTACAGGGAGTCGCTACAAGGTCCACAGGGAAGCCACTCAGTCTGCAGGGCGTCTGCTATGGGGTCCGCACCGACCAACGTTTCTAGAGCAAGTCAGTGGGGAAACTGCTAAAGAGCTTGCTCTGAAAAAGTGGCACCGATCTGTACTCGAAAACCAAACTAAATGCGATCGCAACGCCACCATTCCACCCGCAGCGGCCACTCGGATAACTGCACGACTGCGTGTGTTGGTTTGGGACTATCGATATTCGACAGCATGTGACTGTTCTGCTTTGGCTTTAATCGGCCACTTTGGCGCCGAAACATATACGGTAGAAGAGGGGTTTCAGGGATGCCAACCCCCGTCTCCCAGGCGGACACGCCGCGAATTGCCACCGAAGTTAGGACGCACCCAAATCGGGACGCGCTACCTGAACTCGCCGGTGAGGCATGGCTGTAAAAAAAATATTAATTGTGCCGCAAAACCCTGTAAGCTAAAAGTGTATGCAAACATCACGCTCTTGTCAGTTTGTACTGATCTCCAATAAAGGGTTCTACAAAAAGAGCTTTTCCCTATTTGTTTTTACGCAAAAACGTGCTCTGTAAAAGACATTTTAAAGAGTGTAGGGTCCTTAGGGGTCTGCAAAGAAGCCATACAAGGTCTATAGGGAGTACGTAAGAGGTTCACAGGGAAGCCATACAGTGTCCACAGGGAAGCCATACAGGGTCTACACGGGCTCCTCATGGAGTCTGCATTGAAGCAATACAGGGTCTGCACGGAGTCCCTACGGGGTCCATAGAGAAGCCACTTTAAGCGATGGTGGTACCGCGGTGTGAGAATCGCACTCCCTAGCTCCTGGATGATTGGCATCATAATAAAATGGCTTGCCTACACTTTCCTGACGTGAAAAAAAAAAATCTTTGATACTGCGCGTATATAGCAAAACTACAATTACTTACGCGTCGCGCGCAGACCCAGCCTAGTATATTTTGATAGGCACCAGTGCGCCCACTATGGGTTGTGAAAGTTGCGAATATCTACGGGGGCCGCAGCGACCCCCATAACCTACCTCCCACTGAGAAAGTAAAAACATTATTTCGGAACATACTAAACACTTCCATCTCCACAATGAGTATACCCTGAGGTTGGATATGCCTCTAGACATCAATGTAACATATTGATACCCGGAACTTAATTAACAACTCTTTAACTCGGACACCTCACTACACCTAACGAAAACGTCTACCCGGCATCACTTTGCTAATGCCCCAATATATAGCTCACACCATAGAGAGGCAATAGGATGACCATAGACTCACCGGGACCATAGAACGGAAATAGGAAGGAATGAAAAACTTTTTCTTTCGCGAAGATCTCTATTAGCCCCGAGAAGATGGAGTGGCGCCGCCTGGCGGGCTGTTCGCGGTGACGTAGGGTCCGGGATCACGTGACCGGCTGCCGCTCAACGCGTGTAGTTAGTCGAATTTTGTTTCCCGTCCTCGTTTACATATAGTTAACTAGTTTGAATACTAGGAGCGTGTGGGGCTCCTACAACCTAATGTCTCGTCGTAGCGCGCGTCAGAGCTACATCTTCTGCCCTGAAAATACTTCAGAAGAGCTAATTGCGGGACAGGCTAAGCGGTGAGCGCGCGGCGGCTGAAGCAGAAGCACGCTAAACTCTCCGAACGCGAGCAGGGGCCGCGAGATGGCGCGGCGTGCGGCGTGCTGCCCGCCCGAAGGAAAGAGCAAAAAGAGAAGCTTTTTTTGTTTCTTTCGCTCGGAGTCGGGAGGTTTTTCGCACGAAGCAGCACGGCGGCAACGGCGGCGCAGCTTGTTATCGTTTTGGTTTCGGTTGTCGCGTGTTTCGGCCGTCATGGATGATGCTGACGAAGCGCGGGCTACCATTGAAGGTAAGCGAATATCTTCGATTATCGATTCGACCGCGCGCCTTGTTAAAACTGCATGTCCCTTTTCAGTTGTGCTGCCTGTCAGCAGTATCAACGCGTTCGTCGACAAGGCCCACGAGACGTCACGGTTGCTGCTCGAAGGAGAACGAGTCCTGGAGGCGGGGCACGTGTTTTCCTGCAGCGTCAAAAAGCTTGCAGGGGATTGCTGCGCACTGGTAGGGTTCGTCCTGCAAACGTCAGCTTTGAGTTCAGACCCGCACGAGGTAGAGGTCACGCTGAACGGAAGGAACGTCGGCGACACATCATGCTCTTGCAAAGCTGGGTGAGTTATTCTGCAGGGCTTAATTGCTGGGGTAGCGCGTACCTACCGGCCGGGGGCTCTAAATCAATCGAGGGTTATGCAGCACGAGCCGGAGCATCTCACTGAGGATAGTGATATCAGTGAATAAGCATGACGGCTTCTCAAATTTCTTTCGTGGAGCTGCGGCGTCGTTGCAAAGTGTACGCGTCCCGAACAGCTAGTCGCGCTTTCGAAGCGTGGTATTTTTGCTACTGTTTGTTTTGGTACAGTTTGAAGCACAAGGTTTGCAATGTTTTCTGCAATATCCGCTCTTGTGAGTTAAATAATGATCCATGCCGCAGCATATGAATAAGTGTCGACGTGCTTTTACTAGCAGAGGTCATTCAGACTAACAATAGTTGTTAGTGGACTGCGCCCTCATTGTTTTAAAGGTGCTATCATAAAGGTATTCGATGCTAATAATCGTTAGAACGGCAGGCTTTTTAAAACAAGATTTTACAAGGTAAACACTGAAATATTGTTTTTCTTCTGTTTGTTCTGCTGTCAAGTCAGTTAGCACCAAGTTCAACTAATTGGGAGGGGCCAACTTGTACAGCTTTGTGGGTTTTAAAATACTGTTGGAGCTTTAACATTTTTCTGTCACATACTGCAGGAACTACAAGTGCAAGCATCTTGTGGCCATGCTGCTTCATATAAACGCGAGAAAGACATTCAACGTTCTGTCGTCCACGGATCTGCCACAGAAGTGGGGCAAAGGGCAAAAAAAAGCGGTCAGCGAGAAGTATGCGCCAAGGAGGATCGTGGACCTCCCTTGCCTTGAAAAGGTGAGTTATGAGATTTCAATGTACATCCAAATATCTCAGTAGGCCGTTCGCAAAATCCCAGGCATGTCCATATTATGGTAAAGGGCCGTAAGTCCTGCATTATTCGTCTCCTCTTGCGAGCTTCTTAATAAGGACATGACTAACAGTGTCGCAAGGGATAAGTGCACCAAGAGCATACACGATGTAGTGTACCGGTAATTTTAGCGCGCGGCAAACACGCACACAATACACGGCAATATCTCCCCCTTAAGAAAAACTTCATGTTTCACAGGCCCAGCCGCGTAGGTGGCTGACGCGTCCGTGTTGATCTTCTGAGAAGAGGAGGGCTGCCCTCGGTGCCCTGGTCACGTGTGTCATTGAGCGGTGTGCTGGCGCGCTTGGAGTGCCTGCCTCCGGTGTTAC